TTTCATGCTGTGTCTTGCTTAGGCTTTCATGAAGAGAGTTTTATGCTCCTTTGACTTCTGGCATTCATTAAGCTTTCCTATACTGGAGCAGTAACCTACAAAGTCTTCTTGACTTCTATATTTGACACTCCTGGCAAGAGTGACAAAATGTGCATGCCAAATAATTATCTCACTAAAGAGATGGAAAAACACTGTGAAGAACCGGAGATTATCATGCCTTAGAGGACAGTTGTCATGTCCATAGATCTTACAAATTGCAGAAAGTATATTTTTCAAAAAGAAAAACATCTGTAAAATATGTTCTTGAAAATTACTGGTTGCAACAATGCATATATTACCTAATTCAATGTGTGTATGTGAAGATCACTAATATTCTTTGTATTTTAGCCTATAATATATACACTCCAGAAATTGTCTTTTTTCAGATCAGTACGATAGTCCAGGAAAATAAATGTCAGGCTTTGATTAGAGAAGCCTTGCCTTTTTCTTGGTGATTTTCCATAGTATTTATTGCTAATGCAATGTTATTTTCTTTATGTTTTGGTGAACCTGTGGCAGTTATCTCTTATTTCAGGGAAATTTAATTTCTTTTAAAATGGAGCTTGGTGAGGTTGCTAAAGAGATTATGTTACATGGTTACTTGCAGCAGAGAGGTTTAAACTCAGTAACGGAGGAGTTCCTTATCAGTCTGGTGTTCCTGAAGTAGGAACTAAGGAAAAGCGTTAATCATTTACAGTGACAACGTAGACTTTAACCTGTGCCTCAGGGTCAGCAAAGTGTGCAACCTACCTGCGTTCTGCCATGACTACTGCCGCTGTGGAGCTGTACTGAGGTGTGTTAGTGCCCAAGAGGTGATACTGCTCTCCCTTTTATTGCCTGCTGCCATGGGCACTCCAGGATCCTGAGCAGGGGTCCCTGGCCTCCTCTGCCCCTGCGGCAATCCTCTCAGAAGGAGAAGAGACTGCTTGGCAGTGGCGTGAACGTGGTGTGAGCAGCAGCCCCACACCTGTGCACAAGAGTTTTAAGACTGGGGAAGACTAGTGACATGGCCACACCAAGAGGGCCTGAGTTTTAACTCATGCACCTGGCAGTCCAAAGAGAGGGATCCCAGGCTAGCAGCGTAGCAAATGAGAAAGGCAGCGGCTTTCTGTTCCTCCTTGCTCGGCACGCTCTGCTTCCCCAACCTCTGTCCTAGCAAACCTGTGTCTGCCATGAGCTCTCTGTCTTTCTGCATCTTTGTACACTCTTCAGCTGTTCTGGCAAGGAAAGTTCAATGCATCTTTGATATTCTCCCATCCCACATATCATCCTCCCTACATACTTTTCATGCTTTCTGTATGTTGTCACTGACTGCCTAATTAAGTCCTTTTTTTTGCAACTATACAAGTTATGAATTTCCTGACCTCTGTGCATTAGGTCTTTGTAGAAGAAAAGGTCTTCCTACCCAGCAGACATACTCAGCAGTTCATAGGGTTGGGCTCTTCAGTCCAGCACTGTTACAACACTGCACTGTAGTCAGCACTGATTTTTGCCTTCACAGCGAAAGAAGGCTTTCAGGTTTTTTAACACACACACACACACACACACACACACACACACACATGCATACATACATACATACACATACACATATATATAGACATAGCTAGTCCGTTGTGTCATTTTCCTGGCAACCACGGCAGGTACAAGCTTTTTACAAGCAGGGGAGCAGCACATCAGTGTGGTGGCAGGGTTGTGGGATGCCTTCAGCCACTAGTGCTGCCAAACACTTTTATAGTGTCACATCAGACCTTATTCTTCCCCTGTCCTTGCTTCCCCTGCCTGCTCCTTTGCTTTTTTATCGAGCAGTTAAGAGATTAAAAACGGCAGTGCAATCCGTCCATCAGGATTCTGCAACAACACAGCCATTTTGTTGTTAAAACACACGTTTTTCTGTTCTTCAGTTAAGGAATAAACGGTATAAATTATATCTATTACCATATATCTGGCATCCTATTTCACATTTTGTGTGTGCTTAGAATAGGTGCTGCAAATTAGGTAAGGAAAATAAGGAAACTATGGAACAGTTTTCTTTGTTGGAGCTGAGTAAGATTTTCATGATACTGAAAATGGAAGACCACTTTTACAAGAACCAGTTATATCTAGTTCTAAGTTAAACCCTTGAAAGATGGATGGGATACAGTGTGACACAGATATTTCTTTAAAATAGATCCTTTATTACTTTTTATAGAGGTGGAAATTGTTCTGTACGACACAAAGGCAAAATGAGGAAAGGGTAAGGGACTATAATTTATATAGTTTTGGAAAGTAACCGGAGGGGGATAACTGTTAATTCTCTTCAAAGAAATGATGAAAGACAAGGAAGATTTATTCAAAGTTGCACAAGGATGTTTTATAAGCTGCTAATAGCCTTACACTGAAAAAAAGGGGACATTGAGATTAGATATAATGAGAAGCTTTCCAACAGAAAGATTTGGCAGTGGAGTAGTCTGTCAAAAATGGTTATTGAAGCACAATCACAAGAAGTGTTCAGGAAGAGATAAAATAAAACGCTCAAGGGAGAAGCTAGTGCAGAGATTAGCTAGAACTGATCTAAATTATAGCCCTGGTGATGCTCTGGGGATTTGGGTTTTACAAAAATGCCATTGTGCATTAGTTAATGCCATCTTCTCAGCCAGTATCCTTACAAATTGTTATCTTCTTTCAAGCCTCTCCAAGAAGAAAGGGCATAAGTGTCTTTTTCTTGCTCACTTTCACTGGGCAGAAGAGAAATGATGAACCTGAAGTCTGTTGTGCTAGGAGAACTAATTAGCAAACTCAGGATGAATGTATGGGGGTTTTAAATTGCTTCATTCTTCCCATGTCTGGGGAAATACCAACTGGGCTATCTGATGCGTAATGACAGATATTGCAAATACTGGGAATCTTGGTTCCAGATATGGCACTTTTTCTTAGCTAGTAGAAGACATAAATTGCACCAGCTTCTTGGGATTTTATTTGCTAATTTGCTAGGGGTCTTCTAGTCCTATTCTGTCATTCTGTATGCTGCAGCAATAGCCCAAGTTGAAGAGTTTGCTCTTGCTCTGTTGTTTGTAAAATGGGTTGCTCTCTTTAGATAGGAACAGTTGCAGTTAAAATAACGCTAAGAAAGAGGACATAAAAGATGTTGCTGACCATATTTGTCTGCATTAATAGGGAGATGAAGGTGACTCAGAATAACCTTTGCTCCTTTCTGGTCCAAGATAGTCCAAAAGCCTTTTAGAGCACGGTTAGCGTTGCTTTGGTTTACGACTAAGCTACTCAGTCCTCAAGAGACTGTCCTCTTGGCAGGGAATGGATAGGCTTATGGGATGCCTTCATTATGTGCAGTTTCCCTTGACCAAATTGCTCACAAGGTTTGTTGTGAAAGAGCAGTGCAGTGCCTTCATGAGGAGCCCCCCACGAAGCGAGTCGTCAAGAGGGAAGTGGGGCCAGCTTTTGAGCTGCCAGTGATTGCCACCGTGGGTTTAGCAATCCAGCCCTCTGACTGCTGTGGAAAAATCAATAGAGCTGTTGCTAACGAGAAAGAGGGACAAAAAGTACTGCATCTAAATAGCAACAATTTCACTGGAAAGACAGGATAGGCAAGTGTGCTTACATCTACCAAGGGAGGAATTAAGGATCACAAGATAAAAGGCAGAGACAATGAGGATGGTGAGCAGATTTCGGTTATGCAAGAGGATCGTTTTTCTGAAAAGGTTAATTGGACATTAAGTCAATGCATGCAGCAGATTGTATTTGTATACTCTGGTATGGATAGTTTAGAAATACGTTAGATATTGTGATGATAGGTACTTTATAAGTCCTAGACTAGGTGCTGTTGCAACAAGTAAATCATAAGCTTTACTACAGGAATTCAAGGCTGGTTTAGGTACATCTGCAGATTAGTGCAACTGATTGGCTTCCAGCAAATAAAAAATGAAGGTGAAACCAAAGCTATGTTAGTTTTTCTGAATGCACACTGTGCTAATTCTGTGGATAATTTTAACATTTAATTGAGGAAAAGACTCCTTTTGCTTAGATTAGCAGAAACTGTCCTAGAAGTTGCAGCCAGTGACACTAGAGTTCACTGCAAGTATTTGGACATAGATTGCAAGCCTATGTGTTGAGGAATAGGTAGGCTTCTTCTAAATACCTATGCATTTTATATACAAAGCATCTCCAGCATTTTTGGAAAAGCTGTTAAAATGCCAAAATGTTGTGCATAAAACATTCATTCAGCAGGTTTCTTTTATGATAAAATCTTTAATGCATAACTGCATACCTTGTTTAAGCCAAAACCCAGCCCAATTTACAGCTACATTTTGGTACAGAACATTTTACGCTATTCAGATTGTATCTTCATCTGCTTGTGTCTACATGTATTCTATCTTCGTGTTTTGGAAGCAATAAAGAGAAATGGAAGTTAGGTGGAATACAGGTAGATGGATACAATTAAGATGAAATGAAGAGGATAATTTGTTTGTTTTGTTTTATGTGATGTATCTCCATGCCTCAGAACCTGAGGTCGCAACATTTTGTTTTGCTTTTTTCGAACCATTCCAGTAATCTAGAGCCTTATTTTGAAGGATGTACTGCACAGAATTGAAGGGCAGCTTTTACTTCAAACTAAGTGCTTAAGTTCAGAATTGTTTCTTTTTAAATGATCTTCTCTATGTCCAGCTAAATGCACGACTAAAGAGCATGCATTTGTTTTTTGACAACAGAGACTCTTGGTATTTCCTGGGGGGCAGATGACTTCCCTTGTGGATCTTTTCTCATCTTTGGTCTCCTGCAGGGCTTAGCTAGTCTTGAAGCAACGCTACATGACAAACCTCTAGATACTTAGTGTTGCCTCCACATACAACTTTGCCAAAATGACTGGCCTGATCCTAGCAAATGAATTACTTTGATGTTTTTTTCTTTCATGTATAGGTGGCTTTTCTGCAGCAAACCTTTTTTTTTTCTTCTCCCCTTTATAGATTCCAAGCATTTGTCTATTTTGCAACTGTCTTTCAAGCTATGTCATGTGGTATCCACTATTTAGCTTCTGTGTTCATGGCTGTTACTCCTAACTTTGTATGTGATATCCCTGGAAATGTGAGTAGTGTTCTCTCCTACAACTCCTCTGGATCAAGTGTAGAGGATATCTGGACACTATGGACGTCAACAGAAAATTACATCGTGGTCCAGCTGGGAAATGGAGAAACCTGGGAACTTAATCAATGCAGCAGGTCCAAACGAGAAGTCAGTTCGGATCTCACATACGAATATGAAGGCAACAAGTCTGAATTTTCTTGTTCTGATGGATTTCTCTATGATCATACAAAATGGAAGAGCACTATTGTTACAGAGTGGGATTTGGTCTGTGATCGAGAATGGCTTGCAAAATTAATCCAGCCTACATTCATGCTTGGAGTCTTGATTGGAGCAGTGATTTTTGGTGATATTGCTGACAGGTAAAATGCCATCCTCTGAAAACTGTAGCTTCAGACCTCAGTAACTTCACGTGTACCTATCTGTTTTGTTATTTCGTTCATTACATATGAATTCAGGAAGTGCTGATGTTTTATTCACAGATGTGTTTAACTCCGTTTTTTTTTTTTTTTTTCCTGTAGCAAGTACTAATTTTGCAATGTCTTTGCAAATAATTTGCTTTTAGAATTTGTTTCCTAATTTATATCAGCTGTTGTTCTAAGCGTTGATTCTTGAAATTGCTCTGTGCAGCTTGTATTTTGCCCCTAGATTTTTTTTTTTCCCACAAGAATAGCGATAGTAAGTAGTAATAGCAACAGTAAAAGCTGGAAATAGGTTTTCCCCTGTTTTCCATGAGGAGGAGAAATTCTTCATGGAAATATAAATGTTTATTTCTGGATATGATAAATAGTGAAAGGGCTAATGTAAGGTTAAAATCCAGATATTTTTAAATCACAAATTTCTTCACTTCTGTCATGAGTACAGCTCTGTGGGACTGATGCAAAGGCTTTGAGAGTTTGATCAAACCCTTTATTCCTAAAATAAACAAACACCCATACACTATCTTTCCTTTTCATTGTTGCAATCCAATAGTAGTTTTCCCCTGAATAGCTGCCTTAACTTCAGGCTCTTGAAGGTTAATCCAGAAAGGAAGAGAAATGGTTGTCAGGGAGCTTTGCTGTTATTTCACTTATTTACCGGCGTGTACAAAGGTCTGTTTGAGTGTTGGGGCACTCGATCAGACCAGTCCCCTGTTCACTGTCCCAAGGTGCTCGGTCAGCTTGCTCCCCTCTCATGCCTCCTCTCTGGGTGTTTTGTCAGGTGACACCATCAGTTATCCATATTAGATTCAAATTCCCAAGCTACGTCGTAGCAGGCTTTGCCTGAGGCAGCTTATGTATCTTCATTTTCATTTGAAGACTGCTTTAACTTTATTTATGTCTTTCTATAAAGGAGCTTATAGACTAAGAGCTCTCTTACATAGAGGATGACATGTTATTCCACAGCTAACTGTATGGGCAGGAAAAGTAGACCGGTCATGTTGTTTTCTGGTTTTCCTTCATTAGCGCAATGTTACAGTGTTGCACTTACAAAATGCAAATGCAAAAATAAAGATGATTTTTTTAAAATTTGAATTTTAGAACACATGGAATCAAGCCTTTCTCCTGCTCCAAGGCTTTATAAAACTGTATTTAAAACAAAACCAGAATTTAATGCCAACATTTGTTCTGTGCCCCTTTAAATCAGTCATAGTTTTATTAATTAATATTCGGACATGACTTATGAGGTTATCATTGCATTGTTCTCATTTTCATTAATTCAAGCCATGGACAGCCAGTTAAGGAAATAACACACGTTCTGCGCTGCGGATTTGCGACCATAGATTTTACAGCTGAAAGTTATTATTTTCTGACAGATCCTGGCTGGTGGGAAATAAGTTTGTGGGTTCCTCCCATTGCCAGTTAACAGATTTTCCAGCAGAAGAGGCCCGACAGCTGGGACCCACTGGGATCACTTCTGGCAATGCTGGCAGGACTTAGCGACCAAATGTGCATGATGACTCCTTCCTCACCCCTCTTCCAGTTCAGGGCCAGATTAAAATGGGAGGGTGCTGGAAAAAACTATGCGGTGTCATTGTTTGGACTATACCTCCTAATTACAACCTCACTTTCCAGGACTGTTTTAATGTAGTACCAAACACCCGCAGAGAAAAACAGACAAAGAACCCTCCCACCCTTGGAAGTCTCCACGCTCTCCACCCAAACGTAATATCCGTATCTGTGAAAAGCGATTCACCGTGGGGTAGATAATAAGAATCCAAGACTATATTATCAGGAGGTGAAAATGATTGCACGTATTTGGTATTACAGAGCATTTGTAGACAAAATAGAATATAATGAATCTGTCAATAGAGTATTGGATATCTATTGCAGATTTCTAGGTTCTTCTCCTCAGCTGAGCTTCTTGTTGATAGTGTGGGCTCACTTGTTTAGGTACAACTAGCTCTGCTTGATGGGCATGTTTTCCCTCTGAGATACGGGAAGACAACAGAGATATAGGTTCCTTTTTACCAAATGACCTTCTTTTATACTGAAAATGACTGAGTATGTTTTTGATAGGAAACTGAAGTTTGACATAATTTTTTTTGCTTCTAGTATACCAGCTTACTGGATGTCTATGGTTGTATATGCATGCCATGTAATTGTCGTTGATTAGCGAATTTAACTTAAAGTAATTGGACAGAGATACATTACAGAGGCCTTTCTTTACTATTGAAATTGTTTTTTACTGTTGGCAAGAGAGAACGTGTTATCACAGCTAACTTATGTTAGAACTTGCTAAGTAGATGTTCCAGCTTCCAGATGAGCTCTCTGGAGTTGCAGTCATATTTTAATGCGATGTTTTTGGTTATTCATAACTTTATTATTGCTGTGATTTGCAGGATGGGAAGACGGCGTGTTATATGGTTCACGAGTGCTGGTCAGTTTGTATTTGGCATTGCAGTGGCGTTTACATTTGACTACTACAGTTTTGTGGTTGTGCGCTTTCTCCTTGCTATGGTAAGAAAGGATGTTCATCCTGCCTCTTTTTATGTGTTGTTTCCTTCCCCTCCTCAGGAAAACCTCCCTTTTTTCCTCTTTCCTCCCCGACTTCATTATTCTAAAGCCCCTCTGTTGCACTTATTTCAGCAGAGCAGGGAGAGTCTGAATGTTCTTGGATCAGCAGCACTTTTCCTCTTTGAATTAATAGAAAGCATCTGTGTGAAGGAGTGTTTGGTACTTCCTCCATCCCAACCTCTGCTGGACTGGTAATTAAATACCAAGTGTGAACAGGAAACTCTGGTTTCTGCATTGCAGCTGGCATTGCATTTCTCCTTCTTGTTAGAAATGGAACATATTTTTCTTAAAATAAAAAATCTATTAAAAAGTATAATTTTATCTCTACCATTGTCAGTAGTGAAAAAGAGATGTACTTCTCTTCCATGCATTTCTTTGATCTTTTAAACTACATCTGAAATATTCAGTATATAGGTAGACGTGTTTAACACCTAGATGTTTATACTATACTTAAGAGTATTCCTGTGTGTGTGCGTATGAGTGTGCGTATGTGTGTGTGTGTGTGTATCTGTATACATACTTGTGTATATATGTATATTTAGTGATCAATTTTAAATTACAGTTTTGCATCCAAAGTTATAATTCTTGGGAGTATTTTATTATGTAATGCATTGAGAAGTTAGAAAACTATCACGAGAAAAATAGTATGTTATTTAAAGTAGTAAAAAAATGTGAAAATAATTGCGTCATTTATTTTATTCCTGC